CGAATTTTATATACACGGGACAATTAAGAGCTTGACAAATTGTATAGGAACTTGTCTATTGTTGACATGCTCAACATACACAAAGACTTGCTCATTTATCATATATCACCTTCATTTAATGATGCTTCTACCATTTGTAGATGTTGTTTGGTTATTTTTGTTGTTGGTTTTATTTTATTCAAACGTGATGTGCCGAAATTTCAAATGGTGATGTTTTTCTTTGCGAATAGTAGCAATATAGTTACATCACCCTATGAAAAGGTGAATGCACATATAAGATTTGGTTAGATAAAAAAGTTTGTTTCATTTACGTTAAAGAAGCAATAGTATTGTCACATTAACTTTAAGGTCAGATGTGTCCGTGTCTCAACTCACCAACTGCATGTTTTTCGGTCTTAGATCTTCAGATACAAGAATCATCGTCTAATCTGTAATTTTACTGGTTGTGTCCTATTCCCGATTGTGATATTTTAACCTAGTATGTATTCGCATGGTGGGTGATTCATGCATAGCAAGAGGTGATCACTCTATCGACGAAAACGGTCTCACTACATTTAGAGTTCATGCGGTTCCCTCATGTTTTGTTTGTTCCTTTGATTTATCTCTTTTTTTATCGATTCACGAGAAGTGAATATCAGTAAACTACTGCCGCTTTAATTTACATCCAGAATAATAATGTTATTCATTACTCAATTAAAGCTAACAGCAGTTTACCGATGTTCAGATCTCATAAATTCATTCAGAAGATAAAAATCAAAATAACAAACAAAAATTAAGGGAATCGCAACATGTAAAGCCAGACAATCCCTTCGGACGCACGAAATTAATAAAAGTGTTACTTGCAGTTAGCAAAATTTATGGTATAGGTATCTTTCTGGTCATTATTGCAGTTCGGTGAATATGAAAGATATTGTGAACTTTCTCCTCAACATAGACAAAGCCATGCTCATTTATTATATATCACCTTCACTTAATGATTTTATAAAGAAACCGTTGTGCATACATTTCATTTGACGAACTTTATTCAGTGTCCATTTTTATGCTGGGTTGTAGGTACTTATAATGTTTGGAAATCAATGTTGATAAATCAAGATTATAATCAATTTCATCTTAGTTGTAAACTTTGATATTGGCAATTTTACTGTTCAGACTTGTTCGGATTGAGAACAATGTTTCATTTGCCATCAATGGTCATAAATCAAAGCAATATACACAGCCAAATATACAATTCCTCCTTATACAAATCTGTCTGTTTCAATCATTCTTTAAAAGTAAAATAACAAAAATAACAAACTCCAAGGAAAAACCAAAACGGAAAGTCCTTTATCAAATGGAAAAATCAAAAGCTCAAACACATCAAACGAATGAAAAACAACTGTCATATTCCTGACTTTACAGGCATTTCCTTGTGTAGAAAATTGTGGAATGATTTTATAGCTGACTAAACCTTTACAAATACTCTTTCCAAATTGGTCAAAGTTTTATACACTTTCAAAATTGGTTCAAGTTTTGTACTGTTTCCAAATTGGTTAAAGTTGTCTGTTTGTTGATACAAATTAGAACTGACATACTCATCATTCGCGTTACATTTATCTTCAAAGATCCAAATGTTGCTTTACAACTGTCTTTCCGTATTGACAAAGATATTGCTGTTCCAGCAGACAAAGTCCAAAGGAATATGATAATTGTGTACAAGTAAGATGATGCAAAAGCACATCAAAGTTATCAGGCTTATAATTTTGTATGCCAGACGAGTGTTTCGTCAACACTAGATTCATCTACAGAAGTCTTATCAGCGGCTCTTGAATTAAAACAGTCGGAAGTCCAAATCAAATACGAAGTTGAAGAGCATAAATAAACACATCATAGATACCAAGATTAAAATTGTGTACGCCAGACGCGTGTTTCGTCTGTAAATACTCACCAGTGACGCTCGAATAATAAAAAGTTACAAAGATCAAATAAAGTAGACCGACATTTTGAAAAGCTGTGTCAAATACGGCGATGACATTCTATTTCTATTCCTGGGGGAAGAAAAAATTTGAGTGTTTGGAAATTCAACAAATAATGTATTACTTTTGTCACTCATTTATGTCAAATAAAACTTACAAATTTTGTATCCAAATATAGATGATATTTAACTGAAGAAAAACATAAAAAAATAGATTATAAATACATAGCTGTAAACAGTGTAAGGTTTTTCAGCAATGAATATATACATAAGAACAACTAAGTGACGTGCAACGTGTGTACTTCAATGAACATGCTCATCACATGATACCACTCACCAGCATCACTTGTGACTTTCCACTGATATTAAGTTATAGGTTTAACCAGTTTATCATATATTGAATCAAGCCCATGGTAAAAATAAAACCTAAAGGTTTGAAACTTTCTGGAATTAGAATATTTTAAAAGTTTAGATAACATACTTAAAATATTTTCAACCAACAGTTTGTTTTAAATACCTGTTCAATCAAACTTCACTCTGTTGTAACAATTATGATTTGATATCGCAAATATTACATCCGTAATTACATTTTAGCTGGAAGACAATACATTGCTTTCCTTCCAATAGAATATTGTTTTTGCTAATATATCCATATTCATTTGTTGTATCAATACTTTGAAATTTTCGATTTTCCGACTTGCCAATTGCTGTAATCTGAAAGGTTATTATAACTTTGTCCTAAGTTAAAAAAATTCTTCAAAATATATATATGATGCTGAAATGAATTAACCTTACTTAAGATTAAGTTTAGGCAACAAAAGCTTAGAAACCTTTAAAATGTCCCTGGTGTGAATTAAATTCAGTGTAAATTGGCATTATCATTTTTTGTTTTACGCACAAAGTTACAGAAAGACCATTAAAATTCAACAGGACTGTAAGTGTATGTAACTGCCAATTCCTCACTTAACACAGTGCAAGTGTGCGAACACCTTTGACAGTAAACAACAATCTTGACAATTTTAGTTTCCTAAAAGTGCGTTACATTGTTCATGTATGAGAATATTTTAGGAAGATTTAAATATATAAGATTGAAATCGACGTCTGGTCTCCAATCGACGTCCGTTCCACAAATCGACATCCAAATGTGACGTCATGATGAAATAAGATTTTAAATTGACAGCAAATTCTAAGCTCCTCTAATCCTTGTCATTTTTGTTGTTTTCAAATCGACGCCCACTATTTGGCTACTCTAATCGACTTTTTTTTTACGGACTTGACGATGACGTCATAATTTTATTGAATGAAAACAACATTCATTTTACTGATTCGATGCAGACACTTTCCGAATGCAGATGATTGGTTCAAATGATCTGGTTACCCTTCCGGAGCACCTGAGATCACCCCCATGTTTTGGTGAGGTTCGTGTTGCTGAGTCTTTGGTTTTCTATGTTATGTTTTGTGTTCTGTTATTTGTCTGTTGGTCTTTTTCTTTTTTAGACATGGCGTTGTCAGTTTGTTTTTGACTTATGAGTTTGAATGTCCCTTTGGTATCTTTCGTCTCTCTTCAAGAACCTAAAACTAAAAAAATATAAGATTTTAAATTCAAAATAATAATACTTTTCAACAATTGACTATATTTCTTCATTCTGTCAATTGTTTGAGACTGTATAATGCTGCCTTTATATCTTACGGTTATGTTATCTTTGTCGTTGTGTTGTTGTCTTTGTTGTCGTATATCCACATGTGATTTATTTATATGAAATGTGTAGATTAACTTTTTTCACCAAAATATTTGTAAACAAGTACATGTAATATGATGCCGGCCCTCGTCTTAGCTTATTTACTGCTTGTCCTTTTATTTTCATAAAAGTTTATTTGGGATATTGCCTACTTTGTTGTTCCTTCTCATGTTCATCAATTACGTTGCTGTAATTTGAAAAGGATAAAGATACGTTGGTTTGTTGAACACACGTCGATTACAGACCGGACGTCAGTCTGAGTCTAACAAATATACTCACATTGTGAAAAAACATTTATACTAATGTAACTGGAAGTTGAAAGTAAGAAACAAAATCCATTCACAAACATACATAAAAAAATTAACAAAATTTAGTGAAAAAAGTCACTGTAAGGAATAATTAAATACATAATTGAAATAAAAGAATTAATATAACGTTTTTGAAAGAGATTAAGTTTTAGCTCATTAATATAAAGGAAGCAAGCACTTCGGTAAATGCCTGTACAAAGTCAAGAATTTGGCAGTTGTCTTTCACTTGTTCCGTTGTTTGATAGCGTTTGATTTTGTCAGTGTTTATGGACTTTCCCTTTTTAATTATACCTTACATTCAGTAATGTTGTTATAATTTTTTAAACGTTTTCTAAAAATATATTTTTATTTGAAGCATAAGTAAATAGACTTCGTGTATTTTAAAAGATAAATCAACCAAGAGCAGAAAAAAAAATGATACCATGAAGTCTTCATGCAGAGGAACAAGTGATCACAACATGGCATAATTAGTTATTCCAAGATTTTTTATCATAAATCTGGCTTTTCCTTGTGTGGTTTATTGTGTAACATCTTTCCTTCCCCTGAACTTTTAATGTTAAAAGTATTATAAATAACCATTTCCTCGATGTCACTAGTTTAAGTGAATTGAATTAAGTCAGTTGAAGCACGCATATTTGGAAAAGCCGTGAAGATATTTTAAAGGGTATGACAAGTTGAAACAATCTGCATGACTAGCCCGCGTGCAATCTTTGATGTTTAAATGACATTTTGGATGACAAGCTTGTTATGCACATTTTAAACTAAAAGTATGCATCTGCCAATGAAATCTGTTAATTTCATGCATTTAACATGAATCCATAAATTTCAATTATTAATTGTTATTGATAGTGTTGAATATTAATATTTTTGAATTTATAATTTTGGTTTGTGACGTCAGTGCGTTATTCTCACTTCTAAGTATTTAAGTATAAATTTTATATAAAATGGGCAATGGATATTTAATTATTGACATATTTATTTCATTGATATATTATTTAAAAATCAAATTATAATTGATTACTACAATGAAATTTAGGAATTTCATTCTTTCATCAATAGATATACGTTGTACAGGTAAGAACATTACTAGTAATTATAGTTATTGTATGTGTTGTTTATTTTCTAAATTTAGTGAAAATTTTATCCAAACATTTATATAGAATAAGCACAAAGTTAAAAAAGTGGTAAATTGTTTGCGAAATGTATTCGTGAAATTTCAGGCTAAATTTAAAGCAATCATTTATTATAAATCTAATTATTTATTCATAAGTTATAAAATTCAATTAATTTCATTCCAACATCTTCATCTGCTTTTAATTTATAAAGAGTTATTTTCAATTAGCACTGATTCTATATCGCTGTTAGTGAACTATTAGCTCTCGATGTATCATCAGCTCAGTTGTTAGTGCTTCGGTACTGACATAATCTATAACATATCTTTCTTAAATTCATCGTTGTGAAATTTAGAAATTATCAGACAAAGCTGACTCCAGCTGGATTTGGCTTTTACTTTAAGGTCTCTTTTGGTCGTTTTAAATGCCAAAACAAATTAAGGGTCGTTTATCATAAAAAACAAAAACAAAAACAAAAACAAAAACAAAAACAAAAAACGTTTTAGATCAAAATTTGCTTCAAAGACTTGGACAGGTAGAAGCATAGCAAATTGCTATAAGTTACAACAATGTATGTGAAAAATCATAACAAATAACAAATCATTGACTTCTTAGTTCTTATTTTTTTTTATTAAAACGCAGGCATGGTCATCGATATTAAAATGTGAAATCTAATTACAAACTTCTTTTTTTTTAATTTGGGACACATCATTTTATTTCAAAATAGCCAGTGGCAATTTTGATTTAATATCTTGATTACAATACAATGAAATCTTACCCTTGTGGTCATTCATGCATAGGAAAAAGTATGTACTATGCAAATTAGAATGCAAATACAAGCAATTCGATTGGACAAGTTGTAAGTATGTGCTAAATAGCGTATAGTATTATAAATTCTAGAGAAAATGATCTATATTTAATATGTATTTCATATAGCAGTTAATCATATCATCTTTATTCAATGTTCATTCCAGGTGCAAGTAAATCAAATAAACCATCATCCCCAGTACTAATTCGCCGCCAACGAAGGGTCTCCTTTGACATAGGTGGGTTTGATAATCCAGGACTTAGTATCATGACAGAAGATATAGACAGTGAAGGAGACAGTGGGTACGGAGAATTGTTCCCTAATTTGGGACATATGAAACACAAGGATAGTATAGTATCATGTGCATCATTCGAGCGCGAAGATTTTTTAAGTTTACTGAAAAAGGAGGACACTATTTCGATTATATCAAGGGAAGAACAGGGTCTTCGAAAAGTCAGAACTTTCTCTCTACTCGACGAATATGAACAAGCTGGCAATAGGTTTAAAGCTTACCTATATAATAGATTTGGAAATACGGGTTCAGAACAAGGTCAACTACGTAATGGAACAGGAATATATCATATATACAATGGCACCGTTATTGTAACTGACGTTCTCAATAGCAGTTTGCTGATCTATACCGGTAGCGGTCGGTTGGTCAAAAGTATCCAAGTAAGCAAACGGTCAGAACCGTGGACTGCTGCAGCTACACCAAGTGGGGCTTTTGCAGTTGCGTTAAGTAGAGAAAGATGTATTTCCGTTATGTCTTGCGCTGGGATAGAAAAATTAAGATTTGGGGAAGATGTACTAGAATATCCAAGTGGTGTAATCGTAGATAGGAGAAACAGATATATAGTTTCCGATATCAGACAAAATAAAATCCATATTTTTTCCGATAAAGGTGAACTTATCAGGACAATACCAGAAGACGATGAAAGCAGTTTTTCTTTGAAATCCCCTCGTCATGTTACATTGTCACATTCTGGTAACATTGTTGTGTCAGATTCAGGAAATCACTGCATACGACTTTTTGACAGACATGGAGATCACATTAAATCATTTGGAAAATATGGAAGCAATGATGGAGAGCTTAAATTTCCGCATGGTATATGTACAGACCATGAAGACAATATTATTGTAGCAGACTATTACAATAATAGAGTATCAATGTTCTCTAGTGATGGGAAGTTTGTGCAACACATCGTTACGGCACACATGGGCATGAAACGACCACAGGCAGTGACAATCCGATTTTTTCAAAACAATTACATGCTTTTTATTACATATGGTGATACGAAAGCCAACAAAATAGTCGCATATAGAATCGTTGATTCAGAAAACGAACATATAACTGGTATGAAAGCCAGTGTTTAATCCTACATTTATTTATTATTTATTATTTATAGATTATATATTTATTTTCTTGATTCTGTGAATCCTTAAAACATAAAATGAATTACTCAATGATTTTTTTTATTAGATACCAAATGAGTATTACATGTAAAACAGTGCATTATCAAGTATGTGTGATTACATTGACACATTTTTAAAGAACGTCATTACTAATCTGACATTTCAATCTAATAGCGGTTATGCTGCAGAAATGATAAACGGTCTTCTATAGATCTTCATATTTGTGGAAACTGATTTTGAATTATAATAACTTGTAAATTGGGTAACGCGAAGAAGAGGGTTCTTCCATGATTCATTTTACAATACATTTTGATATAAAAAAAAATCATAATATGAATAAGCAGATTTATGCAGCAGAAATGCTTTATATTTGTTTTCCACATTCTCAAGGTCAAATTAGAACGGTTGACAATTTGATCTTAACTACTATTCAGGTGGGGGACTTGAATCCAGAGGTAACTAACCATTTAGGAACGAATCGGGTCGATAGGATTTTCCATAATCATCGTTAGATTGATAGGGTTGTTCATTGACATGAATAGATTTTTTGGCTTTATATTGAATGATCAGAATGTTGCGGTTTTGTATTAGCATGGTAAGGTTTGTATAATTTAATGATAGTATTGTCAGTTTGGTTGGTGGTTTTGATGTAAACATGGTTAAAGTGTTAACATTGTCAACTTTATAAGATTTAACATTAATGTGGTCAGGATAAAGTCCGGTTTAATACTAACATTGTCAAGTTGGTTTGTTTTGATATTTGCATGACAAGAATTGTAATGGTTTTCACATTAGCATTATCAGAGGGTTAAGATTTACATTAACATGGGAATCATAAGTTGTGTTTCACATTAACATGATCATTATGGTTGTGTTTCTCGATAACATGGGCATTATAGTTGCGTTTTACATTTGTATGGTTTTATAAAACTTTATATTAACATGCTGAAAGGCCGTACCTTGACTTATAATGGTTTACTTTTATAAATTGTTACTTGGATGGAGAGTTGTCTCATTGGCACTCATACCACATCTTCCTATATCTATTAAATATATTTAGGTAACGGTAGTTTACCGCTGTTCAAATCTCATAAATCCACTTAGAAATACAGATTAAGGTAACAAACAAAACCCGAGGGAATTGCAAAAACACAAAAGTAGCGACATCGAATTTTTCGACACAGTAAGCGTCTCCTAAAGGTATGCATCATCCACGTTGCGGATGTGTCGCCTTCTTGCACGCATCACCCACCATGCGAATCCACACTCAATCAAAATGTTACATTCGGTAAAATTACAGATCAGACAAATGTACTTGTATCTGATCCAATACCACGAAAACATGTCGCTAGTGAGTCGAGACACCGACACATCTGACCAAAACGTCACTGTGACATAAGTGCTGCTTTTTAATAAGGTGGTGTACCTATATTACGACTCCTCGCAAAGGAAAGGTCACCATTTGAAATGTAAGCACATCGCGTTTAAATAAAGGAGATATGGTACTCTATGAGACAAAAATCTAACGACAAAAAAACCAAAAGACCTCTAGAATAGAAAATGATGGGTACATATGGTCTTATATTAGCTTATTTAAATAGGAATTAACGTTTAACACGTGTTTATAATAATCTTTACCCTGTGAAGACGGGGACTTAAGGTTCGAAAACTTGAAAAAAAATATAACACAATCAAAAACAAAACATTCCAGTAGCACCGACATCTCACACTTGAACCGATATTCAATGGCTTGTATTCCTATCATTAAAAAGAGTTAATGTTGACAAGCAAGCTATCGAAAATAGGAATCTTAATGGTATAGATGAACTCATCTTTTCCAAAAAAATGTTAAGGACGCCATATGTAATTTATGTATCATATACACAGTGCAACGTTTGACGGTCACCATCACGATTTTTTTTGCACGGCAGACATGTTTCCTGGTTTAAGGTTTTAAAATACCAGATTACTGCAAATTTACCCAATTATCCTTTTCCCTATCGTGACAGTTTGGATTCTGATGACAGGTAATGAATGCATAGCAATAGTCGTTTACCCTATCGACGCACTTAGTCTCGCTCTCTTTGAACTTTATACGTGTCTACCAATCATCGTATCTCGATTTGTATATGAACTAGAGGCTATAAGGAGCATGAATTGCTCACCTGGTTTTTTCCCTTAAAAGTAATACAATGCAAACTAATTTTTGCTGGACAGAACTCTTGTGTATCCATTATCATTTGCAAGATATTTAGCAATAACGAAAAACAAAAATGGTTAAAATAGTGATTTCCGGGCAATACTATATACGAAAACGTCTTTTAAAGGCTATAACTTCTATTAAAAGTTTACTGACACCTTTCCGCATATTGTTTTATTTGTAGATGTCTTCTTGTTGATATTTTGTGCTATTCAAAGGTTCTCTTTACTTATTATAATTTTAAAGATAATGGTGAAACAGGCCATAATTTTGCAATATCGTCATTAACTCCTATAAGGAGTCGTCTGACAATTTTGGTCATTAGACTTGATTATAGTAAATCTTATTTTGATGATTATTTTTAATTCTAAAGTTTCTCTCTATCTTCTATAGTTTTCACCAAAAACTCAAAATATTGGTAACGATCGTCATTAATGCGAATTGGACGTATTTGAAGATTTATCTTGCTGATCATTTTTGCTGTTGAAAACTTCACTCTTTCTATAAAAGTTTTTAAAAGTATAGCTAAAAACACAAAAGTGGTAAAAAGGTTGTCATTTAAGGACAATAAGTCTTATAAGGAGTAGCCTTATATATTTGTCAAATTAGATATTAGGTAGGTATAACCATTTTTGCCGCTGTCGGAATTTCTTTTTCCATAACAGTTTTCAAGATAATATACAATACTTGTATTTTACTACTATTTTTTCAGCCATGACGGCCATGTTTGTCGGCCGCTTGGTTCATCGGACACAAATTTTAAGAAGGATACTCAAAGGATGATTGTGGCCAAGTGTGGTTGCAACTGGCCAGGTAGTTACAGATGAGGAGATTTTAATCAAAGTTTATAGGCAATGCGACGGCCTCCCAATGATGGCAATAACTCACAGTAGCCATTGGGAAATGGGCTAAAATGGCTTTGCTAGTTTGAAACCTCTACTACTGTTGCTTCTTATTCATAGATGACCACGGATATGTTCCACTCATTGTTACAAAATCCGTCCTTTTTTCCTCAATTGTAACATTACTTAATCTGACTCATCGTTGGGTTGGTGTTGCTTACTATTTCGTTTACTGTATAGTGTAATGGGGAGTGTTGTTTGTCTTTCCTTTTGTTTCTTTTGGTCATGGTGTTGTATGTTTTTCTTTGACTTATGTTTTTTTTTTATTGTCGCCTTTGTATATTCCCCTTTGTACACAATTCATATCGATTCAGTATTACTTAAAAAAGTTTAATTCGTCAGAATTTATGTGAAACATTTAGTGATTTTGTATGGATGAACCAATTCCTTTCTTTTCTATTATTTATATAAAAATAAGGAGATGTGGTATGATTGCCAATGTGACAACTATCCACCAAAGTGTACTCGACAAGTAAACCCATTGATAAACATCGATGTTTACAAGTAGTTTAAATAAGGTTTTGACTACATACAATCGACCGCGATAGTCAATGTTCACCTTGCGTGGGTTAAGTGATCATTAAACTAGACATTAAGAACGTGGATTTTATTATAAATATTTGTTGAAGTTGCATGCAAATATTGAATAAAAATGATTATAATAATATTGTGAATTAAGTTATTTACCTATTTAAATGAAATAAATCGAAACTTGCTAAATTAAAAACATGATTAAATTTAAAAAGTCTTAGTGGACCATTTGATTTTCAGTGGGAGGATTTTTTTTTGTTGTTGACGGAATATTCATTTTACACCTGTTGATAGAACGGTTTAAGATTCGCAGTAAATGGTTAATTATAACTGTCCCTTTGATCTCTTTCCCCTCTCTTATATATATCTCGGTTTCCGATTGGTCAAATTTTATGGGAAGGTCTATTGCTAAAAATTAATGTTTCTTGGAATTATATCATTTTACATGTAAAGTCCAGAGAGAGACTGATTGACATTTATGAAATGGGAAAATTTGAGTCTAAAAATAGAAACTCGCAACTCATTAGACATACCTCAAATAACACTTGTTAGATTTTATCACGGAATCTTTTACAAATTTACTATCTGGATGATAAGTTCTATTCAGACAAAAACTAACAGTTTTTTTTGTAATTTTTATAATTAATCATTTATACGAGTCTTAAATTTCAATCGGCTGTGGGTAGACAAAATAATTACGGTTGACATACTTGGGGAGGCCTGCTACGAATGATCCCGACAACAAAGGTAGGCGTGTTATACACCATTGTGTTGATAAACAATTTAGATTTACGGCATAACGAGTTTTAGTGGGGTTGACAACTGAGGAATCGAAATATAACGGAAGTTCGCGACCGGGTGACATATTACAAAAATGTGAGTTTAATTAAGTACCTTGTCTTATAATAAGGTATACAGAAATTTTTTTTCAGAGACAAGTGCCTGTGCTCTTGCTAGGCAAACTTGTTGTCGCTATCCAATATACTCTTGTTTTCCAATGGCTGTCCAAATTTCCAAGGTTTTTATCCCTTTAGGCTTCTTTTACAGGACCTACCTATTGTATTTATTGCGATTTTGTTCTCGTCCTGAACATGTATGAAATATTTGCCACTGGATATTAAAACCAACAATCAATCAATCAATCATTTCAAAAATCCTTTTTTTTTTAGCTTATTGTTACGCTACTTTCGCCTGTGTAATCGTGACATATTTAGACATCTCAAAGTTCTCCAAACCAATAGAACGATTTTCTTAACCAATCATCTTTGTGGGACAAACATTTTTGTATCACTTAAATAATAAAAACAAACATTTTTTTTCATTTACAT